GAGTAAATACGGTAATCAAAATCATTAATGTTAGCACAGCAGGAGGTTTTTCCAATTCAAGGACTTTCCAGGATTTTCAAGGCCTGTGGACACCCTGGAGAGTGGTCATAAATGGGTAAAAAGTTATCAGTCTGCCAAGACCAAATTAACATTTATTCAGTATACCTCTTGCATATTGGATTTTTGCTCTTTTTCATCATTGATATTTATTCCTTGAAAATTTTCTTCCAGATCAGATACATTGTTGTTTGTCTACAAAATGTTACAATTAGGTTATGTATACCAGGGTTTTGGGCATCTTATAATATTTCGATAGAATTGGATGTAGATGGTTTGACTCTTTGCACATAAACGTTATGGCTGTGCCATGAGGATCGAACCCATGAGCGAAAAGTGTCTGCTCTGAAACACCAACCACCATCAGCTACAAAAATATGTCAAGCACCTAGGGGCTGTTTGTACGGGGCAAGCCAGCCAGGGTACCTGAGCTCGCCTGGTTTAAATTTTATTTTGACTTTATATGGGAACTGAGCTGGCCTGCCTCGAAGGGAGCCGTGATCTTGGGTGATGGGAATGTGACCGCATAAAAATGCAATGACCCCGGCTAGCTGAGTGTTACAGCGGTGAGAGCCGGTGGTTTGTTTTGGAGAGCCAGTCCATCTCAAGAGTCTCGCGAGCTAGCTCAGGTATCTGGGCTGGCTCGTCTCCACACATATACCCCTTAGATGGCTTTATCCCAGGAATGTTTTGGTCCATCTAAACATGCCAATCCCACCTGGGTGCATTTCCCGCTAGCCAGCCAGCCGGGTGAAAACGTTCCTAGATCCTGCCGGGATCAAATAAACAGGCCATTAATATTCATAATATGAGCGCTTCTGCAAGTCTGTGTTTTGGCTAATGAAGCGGAACGATACCACAATCACACCCAAACATCATTAGCCCACATTAGTAAGAAACACGATGTACGGTCTAGCATTAAGCTCGTATTTTGGAAAAATTCCATTTGCCATACTTAAAATTTTTTTTAAATGCGAACTTCAAAATACCAGCAAATCAGCAATATCAAACTGTTCATTAAAATCTGAATACTTTTCAAGCATTTGATGACTTATAAAATACGAAATATTTTTAGACCGTTACACCATTTGTCACATGGCAAATCGAGGCCGTAATTGCCACGATTTCAATTCAAAAACCATTTAAATACATGGCTAATTCGAAATCCATGCATATTTTCAATCATTAGGCGATGAAATGAAAACAAAACCGCGAGCACACAAAAATATACGCTCAAAATACTTTCAATTTTTCCGACAAATTTATATTTCGTTATTTCGCTTTTCTTCTTTCACATAACAAACAAATACGTAACGAATAGGCTTAGTTTTTGACCGAATTTAAATAGTTTTGAAAGACGCTTAAATTTATATTATGTAAACTTCACATGCTTAGAATATATTCGTACAATGCGGACTTCTATAGAGATTTCTCTTGGAATAAACACTCTGTTTTGTTAGGTTTTTATCACAACTTTGAGGAAATGCTTCCTAGGAATAATGTGTTCATTCAAAAGTAGCTTTCTAGCGACATATTTCGAAGCGATCAAAGGATCACTCGAGTAAATCGATTCCACAACAATAAATACTCGTGCATAAATATGGGGCATCTTTATACTATGAAAATACAAACTTACGGTTTCAGATTTGTCGTTTACAGCCCAATGTTTGCCAGCGAAAGTATTCTCGTCCATCGTAACGCTTTTCGTGAAGCTTGTAGCGACACCTTGCCGTTCGAATAGGTAGCTACCTACCTCGCCATTGACGCCGTTTGCGTTCGATAAGTCGTAGCCATTCGCCGTCACGTTCGAGGAAGTTTCTTTCGTTGCTTTAGCCAGTTTTGCATTCTTTTCGACGACAGTGTATCTATCAGTCTCCCAGCCAACTTCGTGCATACCAAGTACACATACAAAACTCATCGAAGGCAGCTAAAAAACAACACACAAGACAACGCGGTTTAATACGTGCGTGCTCTACAAATCGAACCGAGGGTGTGACAAAGAGCCGCGGTATCTACTCGATTTTATCGTACTTCCTCGCCGATTTCGCGTGAAATGAAACCGGTTTCCTAGAGTTTAAATATCACAGAATAGAATAAAGTTTGTAGATTTTTTGAAATAAGAAAGATTGAGGACTTACACGATGGATTGTTGTACGAGCAAGCAGCCACAGAGCATGACTTCCACTTGACAAAATACTCAACAAGAAAACACCATGATCCTTTGGGGGTTGGGACGAAGGGAATTCTCGTAAACATATATTGCACGTGCTTTCGGATAGAATCGCGGGGTCAAATGACATTTCACAAATGAAATAATTAGGTGAAAATGTCAACAGTTTGCGAAATTATCGAGTGCATTTAGTTAATATTTTAGGAATTGCAGATGTTATGACCCGATCGAACATTTGGGGCAGAACAATGAAATGTATCTTATGATGTACCAATTTCACCGTAACCAAAAGCCCGTGGTATTTTCCAGATTTTGCGAATGTTTCACAAACGTGCCAAAATGCAAGAACCAAGCAGCAATCTTTCGCGCCGCTACGGAGAGCTATCCAGTATAAACGTGGCCTAAAATTTCAACGAAATGTCAACAAAACATTCGTGGTATTTTGACTGTTGTTGTCTTTTGAATAGGCTATCTTTTCCGAGAATTCCCCTACTACTTTAAATAACGCATTCCTCTCCGAGAACTTTTATAGCATCATGGACTTTGACATTGGCAAGTAAATTTGTAGGCAAGGAGAAAATATAGTTGAAGGAATTGAAATTAAAAAAATATTATAAATAGCCGCGGCAAAAAGGAAGGACCGGAAGCGACTAGTGCTCAGGTACATACGGAAAGCTCAAATTCATTTATAGAAAGTTTCGGTTGATAAGGAATGCAAATACCTGAAGAATACAAGTGAGAATTTCGACCCTTCGTCGCGAACAGTAAGCCGGTTCTCCTCATGTACTTGCAGGCACTTGCATCCCTATTAATCCAAAGCTTTCTTACATGATTATGTAATATAGAATTGTAATAAGTTTCATGCCAATATCATCGCATGGTGTTGCAAAGGAATATCGCGTCGGCCTGCCCGCAATTTATGCGTCTACAGTATGTTGCAATCATTGCTACAACACGTTGTAACACGTCCTTTTAAGAAACCGCGCGTGTGCAGCCAAAATCAGTGTCCTGCCCATGCCAAAATAATGCACGAGTTTAAGTTCCTTGTGGTTTGCATGAAAACAAAAATAATTGGCTTATTTTTGTGGAAAAACACCACGTCTATTTGCAAACATAGTTACAAGTGGAAACAGCTTATAGAATTACCCAATCCAATCTGAAATATTTCGGTATTTTCCCCCCATCGAAAATGGATACACGCAATTAATTGTTTGATGGCTAAAAATTTTAAAATTCAAAAGATCTCCAGCGGAAAGTCCCAGCAGGAAAGCTCGACGGAGTTAATACTATAACGGGTTTTTGCACAGCTCGCGGAAACACGAGCTAATATTTACAATTTTACAGGTAACTTTGAAAATAACTGTCTGTAAGTGCATTTCTTTCATCAATTGTACTGTTGTAAGCTGGATCGCTTTTCTCAAATCATTCCGAGAGCTATTTGTAAATAGTAATGCTAAAAAAGTTGAAAATTCTCACCGCCTATTTTTTACTGCGGTTGCGATATCTGATTATAGAATATAGTGTCGACACGCCTCGGATATTTTTTCCTTAGTACAATGGGCAAGTTGCAGAAATTACGTAGATCTGACGGGCCTACGATTTAGTTTTTATTACCATTATATAAAATCAGTGCACGAATACATTCGACTACTCCCGTGCTAGACTGATAATACAATATAATTTCATACTGTAAAACCACAAAAATTTGTAGTATGAAATTTTAAAATTCTAGACAAAACATTATACAAATTTGGTCACCTTGATATTATCAAATGTGATGTAATAGCAACGGAATATTATTTGCGACACGCAATTTCGAAATTTTGCACAAAATTTACTCATGTGATTGTGCAAACTTTATTCAAACGGCGCTAAATCGTTTGTTTATATTCGAAAGTGCAACAAAGTGGACCACCCGTAGAAATTACTTTGTCAGCGTATAAATAATGGTATTTGATCAATATTTCATGAGCATTGGCACAAATCTCACCATTTAAATACATTATATTTCGAAATCACGAGTTAGAATTTAAGCATTTATCAAAATGTATGAAATATACATACTGTCGTGGATCTATAATTTGTTACATTGTCACATTATGCAACCAGTAATTGCTCGATGGAATGCAAGAATGTTTAATAAATATATCAGGTTGCATTTCACCGATGAGATCATAGTTTAGAAATGTTCTAATTTTACAGCCAATGAGTAACATAAGTAAGAATTTAGGTCGTGCATAAGACGCTACAATAAATAACAAGTTCTGCTCAAAGTATGAGAATAATTTCAAGCAAAGTTTGAAATATATGAAAATTTGATCAAAGGTCAACATACCTGTTATTTGCAAAGACAAAGAATTTGTATTCAAACTTTCGACACAAAAGACCCTCGATCTTTAAAATCCACTGAAGCAAGCCAATCTTTTCGCTAATGGCTCATTTCTTTAATATAACGATTGGCTAGATTTGTTACGAGTTTCTTTGTTAGTTTCGATTGTGTTAAGATTGCTGCACTTTCAATATCTCAGAAGAGTCACAAGCTAGAGTTCGACATGAAGTGAACTACGGGGAATCACACGTGCTGACGTTGCAATTCGAACCGGAAACGTGTCGATCGATTGGCGTCAAGAATTGTTTTTCGAGATCATGTGATGTTTGTCACGTCTCGTCATTTGTTAAAGCATGCTTTATGATGCTTAGGCTGTTAACAAAAAGTGTCGCGTTCTGTGTGGGGCTAAAATCGTAGTTGAATCATAGCGTGTAACTGGGGCTGGAAGATTTTAAATACGCTTAATTAACAAAGTATTCAACTATCAAAACAACTGCTCAAACAACAATTAGTTCCGCGCAGTCGACTCCCGGTTTCGGATTACATACAAAACAGATTACTTCCCCAATTTTGCCACAAGACACGAATGACCAATAGAAAAGCGATACCGGGGAGGGGGGGGGGGGTTCGCGCAAAGGAAAAGAAAAAACCAATCGTGCAAAGAAAAATATCTTTAAAATTTTCGCTGTTTATGAGTTCTTAACCGTAACTGTAACATTATATAATCGCTGACCCCAATGAGCAAATCCAGCTATAGACTAAATTTTGATCTAGGCAAGAAGAACAAAATCCATCACCACAGCTAGAAAGAGCATGTTAGGGTTAGTGAAATTGCAAAGTTTGGTTGTGAAATGTTGTAAAATGCGAAAAATATAGCCCTGCGAAATTTGCAAATTTTGTATTAGTTTGTGTTACGTTCGGGAAAATGCACACCACATTTGGCCCGAAAGTGGTGCAAATTCCCGGTGCGTAATACAAATTAACACTAAATTTGCAAATTTCACAGGGCTATATTTTCCGCATTTTACAACATTTCGCAACCAAACTTTGCAATTTTACTGATTTTAACATGCTCTTTCTGTGGTGATGGATTTTGTTCTTCTTGCCTAGATCAAAATTTAGTCTATACCTGGAATTGCCCATTGATGTTTTGTATCCCCATACACATGTCACTAGGGATATGGGTATCCCGAGCAATAATGTAAACCCTACCCTAGTGATACGAGTAGGCGGATGCCCCATTGTCTACCAAGTTACGGATGGTCTGAAAACTAAACAGAAGTCATTGTGTTATGTTTTTGTCGGCGTTTATGCTAATTTGTGCACGGTCACGGTGATTGAGCTCATTGTATTTTCGTAGAATGAAGTAAATCGTCCAATAGGGATAGCTGAGATGAAACGTGCAACCACGATGAATAATACTGAATGAAGTTGAAACAAAGGATTTGTGCATGGTGAGGTATAGTTCAACATCAAACAAAACTAGGTAGGGTAAGTTAAAAAACTAAGGGCTCCCGACAGTTAGGGGCCCCCATCAGCCATGGCCTATCGCCCAGAAAATTAGAAAACGTAAAAAATGCAGGTTAAGAATCAATGGCAAAATACAAAATTAATAAAGCTAAATAATAAAGCCTCCATCGACAACGGTAGTTCATTTTTTTATTCCATCTTAAATAGAACAAAAGTTATTCTTAAACGTTGTTACATGTCAGTTGGAGACTGTTATTGGCATTGTTATAGACACGGAATTTTCCAGATCTCAATCAAACAATAACAGTCAACAGGGGCCCCCACACCAAACATGCCTAAGGGCCCCTTCTTCCCCCATTACGCCACTGCCATCATATATTCACAGACTATGGATACACAAAACCTAGGGATACACATGCATATTGAATATTCATGTATATATCACACTGTGACACCGGTCTCCCGTGTTAATGGTATATATAGTTACAGAGTTACACTCGGTATTTAGGACAGACAGTCTTTACAGGCTTAACTGAGTAAAAATTACAGCATCTTGAGGTTTTGGTATTGTAATAGAAATATCCACAACATTGAAAGTCCTCTCTCTTTGAATATATCTTACCACAACAGCACAACTCCGTGGAAGGATTGTAGATCTCATTACCGCAATCTGAATGAAGAAAAATGACACTTTAGTTTGGGATTTCTGTAAATATATCAATATGTATCTAGTCAACAATTTGAAATAAATGAATGATATTCGGTGAGAAAATTGAACTTAAAGTTTATTAAAATGATTTTGTATCGGATATACAAGATTTATTTTGTGTTTTCTTTATGAATTATTAACGAGTTTCACGAATGATATATATTACTTACAAAAGTAGGGGCAGTATTTGAAGAAGAACGAACAGTTCCAATTTCCTCCGAGATCACAAGTACTATATATAGATGAATAAAATATATATAGTGATTAAAGCACAAGTAGCGATGTGTTAGCGCGCTGTTCTTTCTGATGCTATCTTCAATACTTACCATTTCAAACAACCACATTTTACATGGGAACCCGGCTTATGCCAGTCGTTGATACCCCAGTGACAAACTATAGGAAGATATAGAGAAAGGGAAAATAAAAAGATCAGATTTTCGAAAAACCTGCACCAGATCTTTCTATGAATAGAAAGGTTTACACTATCAAAGTTTCTGTGATCACAGTAGGAATTTTGCAAAGGTAAATTAATTCTAAGTTTTGAAGGATTTGTAGGATGTCTGCATGAGGGAACTGATTATTCAGTATTAAACACGGAATCAGTTCCCGCAAACATTTCTTACAAATCCTTCAAAACTTAGAATTTACCTATGCAAAATTCCTACTTCACCGAAACACACTGACACTGTAAACCAGAAATTCTGGTCTGAATGGAACACAAACACACTTACAGCCATCCTTTATAAACTGCTGTTCTTGTATTTGATCATCACGCTGTTTTTGTGTTGCTTCGGACTCCCCAATGCCAATAACCCTGGCCTCGACTTCGTTTTGAACAGATGGCACGATATGCTGCTCTAAATTAAACATGAAAAACACTTTTATTTAATGAAAATTGAGCAGAATTATATTGAAGGGTTTTTATGGGTGAAAATATGCATATTGCTGAAGGCTGTTCCAAAAGATTGAATTTGTGGGTAGAGCTCGACAGCTGGCCTCTGTTGGTTAAAGCGCTGCACCGGAACCGCAGGGCCCCCGGGTTCCAGAAGGCCTATAGTTGCATTTTCAATAAATGTATACAAATTACACTCGAAAGTTCTGTGTACAAAACGCTTTTACAACTTGTTCCAAAAGGCCAATACCTTATTGTGTTTCTACACTGCCTCACACAACTCAACACAGCTAAACAATTTTGATATAACGTACCTGCAACCTTAGCGACACAGAGCGCCGGTAAAACACAAAACAAAATGTGATACTTCATCTCTTCTTTTCAATCGTGGTTTTAAGAAGAACTTGAGAATGATAGCACAACGTACTTGTCTCAGTTTATCATATGTTCAAATCATGACATAACAAAGAGTTATAAAGGTAATTATCAATACAACATCGGTCATTCTGCCTCGAATATGCATAGTCATAAATTCCCGTTCAAGCATCAGTTCAACATCGTCAACATGGCTGGTCTAACAATGTTGTAAAGCGCTAAGTAAAAATTTTGAGTACACTCCAACTTGATCTGGCATCACGGCAATTTTATGAAACATAATTTTCAAACAGATCGATCGATGTTGCAACCAACAATGTGGAATGATTTTGGAATACGTTGGGTTAGCTCTGGACTGGTTTGGAAGGCTTTTGTAGTTTGTACTTAAGGTGTCATGGTGATATGCCAAGGTGATATCAATATATCTATCGTAATTTTACGAAGAGGTTACGGTAATTTTAATGAAGTACTTTTGCCAAAGGATTACAGAAGAGCTAAGCGTCCCTTGTAATGTCGTACATAAGTACATTGACATTATTTTAATTGTTTTTGGATATAAACAGCTACCTGTGCATCTAACTCAGCAGTGAGTTCTGTACAACATCAGATCACTTCAAGGTAGCCCACATTCAAGAACATGTACTACCTCTGCATGATCTAACCATGCTTAATTCAGCAGTGAATTCTGAACAACATCAGATCTTAAGGTAGCTCACATTCAAGAACATGTACTACCTCTGTCTGATCTAACCATGCTTAACTCAGCAGTGAGTTCTGTAACACCAAGTCACCAACAGATCTTGAGGTAGCCCACATTCAAGAACATTTTTTCCTTTCATAATTCAAAATTTCCTTCCTATTTCCTTTTATTTTGGATTTCTTTTTTTCCCATTCTAATTGCCAAAATTTCAAAAGGGAAAAAATGCTTCGAAGTGGAAACCTTGACAAAAGGAATTTAAATAGGGACTCTAAAATATTTACTAATTGTGCTATTTGGGGTTGTAAATCGAAAACCAGAGATCATCACGAGATTAAACAGGAGATACGCTTTTTAACTTTGACGTATTGCCCAGACAGCCGGATATGCCATTGTTTTTGCCGGAAGGCAACTTGCGTAGTTTGGAAATTGAAAACAATGTCAACTTCAAATTCAAATTCGATTATTCATTCAAAGGTTTTTATCGAACAAACGAGCTTAGTTTATCCATTTAATAAGTAAATACGTACATAAAATTCGCCATATATTAAAACCAAAAACATTATTTTCTTCCAAAGTAGCAAAAAAGTTCGATTGTTTTTAAAATGCATTTAATTGCGACATTTTGTTCCAAGGGAAAACCCCTAGATCGACGAGATTTGAATTTCAAAAATTTGTCGCGACAAAATGGCGTATTTTCAAGCCATGTCGTCAACGATAGGAGTTAAATATGTTTTGGTGATTTTGTACCTATATTTTGGGCCAGTTTGTAGCGATAAAGAAAACAAGAAATCTGGTAACTGTTTTGCAAGTCAAAATTATTATTGCTTTGTTGTTGCATAATAAAATATATCAATATGTTTATGATGCTTACGTGTACAATATCATGTGCCAATATATGCAAGGCTGTAATCGAGATCAGCTTTACAGTACCCCCTTAATATAGGGCAGTTACCCCTGTAATATACTTATGTGCACACCATTATTTGTGTGACTCTCTCCCATCAGAAAGATGTTTGAAAAAGCATACATTGACCATGTACAAGCTTTGCACCATAATGCTAAACAGGTCATTGAGGAGTCTGAATATGAGAATATCCAATTATTGGCGGTGGCCGGTGGAGGGGGAGGGTTTTTCCTCCTCAAATTTTCCTAAGGGGCTTTTCAAAAAAAGATAACAAAAATTTAATTGGTGTTTTAGGGGGTGGGGGGATGGCACTAAGCCTGAAAACAGGCTGAATGTGGGCTACCTTAAAGATACTCGAACAGTTACAAAATATTTTATATCCTAAGGGGATTTAATATGCAGGGACCCCTCAATAGGGGTGCTGCCTATATATAATGGTCAGGCCTAGCTGATGCAGCCATCTTTGTTCTTGGTTGACCGCGGGACTGCTCACACATATTGTTAACCCATTAAACCAGAATTTATTATCTGGCCTCTTGGCTCAGTTGGCTGTTCATTAGTAGTGCTCACACTCAATGGGTTAAGGGTTTAATTATTGTGATCAATAAATGAGTATTGTGTATATTTGCAGAGGTTCTGTTATGCAGACAATGTGGTCACAGTGTGGTGGATGGAAGTGAAGTAGTTGATATTAAAAGTACTCTGGCCCTCAGATATAAAAATGCTTCTGTTCTCGGTCCAAAAGGGACATTGGTTCAGACTTTCAGAAACCCCCAAGGTTCGTTCAACAAATGGGGGGGGGGATTGATTTTCAGCTTGCACAATTTTTTTTTGCTATCTTGTGCTAGCTGGATTTTTTGCGGAATATTGAAGATGTTTTACAAATTTATTTGCTTTCCCTTTTTGCCAGAATTTGTCTTATAATATATGGCAAGGAACGCTATCACCAGAGGCGCCGGAGAATCGATAATAGCGGGGGCAGATATTCATATATTCGTGTTCACAGACTGTAAAAACAATCGTTTCAAAAGAAATTAATTGGGCAGAACACGAATATATGAATATCTGCCCCCCCCCCCCCAATTATCGATTCTCCGGCGCCTCTGGCTATCACTTTTTCCTCAGCTGTTAATTTTCCCTATTCAGTAAAAAAGTTCAGTTATAAGTAATCCTTATTGGTGTCCAAAAGCAAATCTGAGTACCTGAAGAAATAGCCTGTGGTGTTTTGCAAATTTAGTACATTGAAACCATTTACATCACATTGTGACTGAGGTGAAATTATAATAATTTCAGACAATAGCATATTAGGGATGAATGCTAAATTAAGTAAATTGGTGAAATCGTTACAAAAATGTAATTTTATTCAAATTCCTAGGTATGAGTTTTGACGTAATTACAGTATCAAAAGCGCACATACAAGAAGCCGGAGAGGTATAATTTTAAATTTAATGTTCATGTATTGTCTTTGTCTATTTTCACTTAAATTCACTTTAAATAAAATCTAATGCTACTATTTTTCTAAAATTCCTACCTCAGGGCTGCCGAAAGGTTACGCAGGGCTAATTGGGGTAAAAACTTTTCCCGGAGACCCCTATGATGTCAAAACAGAAGATGTGGTCTTTTGCAATATATTACACTTTAATTATTACATATTATTTGGCTAACACAGCTAGGATGTATGTTCTCAGTTAAGCAATCTGGTATCAAGAAACTTTAAGGGCTGGGGCCCCAGGACAAAGTGCCCCGCCCTGCCGCCCCCCACCTTTCAGCAGACCTGTCTCAAATATTCAAATTCACACTACTTTAAAATCGAGTATTCAATAATCATCTTCCAGCTCTGATTTCACCAATTTATTACCATATAATTTGCATAAATTTCAGGCGTACGAGGAACATTCCTGGTTTCCAGATTATGCCTGGAAATTGGCGGCCTGTCCAAGATGCCGAGCACATTTAGGCTGGTAAGATGAAAGCTTGTTAATGATTTTCCATGCTAACATTGATCATCAGATTTCCCTACCATTAGTACCCCATTAAGCTGCAATATTGCACCCATTAAATGCACTTGACTTTATTATTTTACTCTGTCTAATGCCAGACAATTTTCCTCATCGAGGGGAGAGTCACCAACGTGTCTTGTTAATCCATTAAGCTGTAATGTGCCCTTGTCAAGGAGGTTAAGGCTCTTTTCTACTCATCGCAAAAATCAACTCGCAAGCTCAATGTGACTGTTGCAAGCTCTCAGTGATTGTCGGCCGTTGCAAGCTCTCAGTGACTGTCGGCTGTTGCAAGCTCTCAGTGACTGTCGGCTGTTGCAAGCTCTCAGTGACTGTTGGCTGTTGCAACAAGCTCTCAGTGACTGTCGGCCGTTGCAACAAGCTCTCAGTGACTGTCGGTTGTTGCAAGCTCTGTGTATTTGCAGTGAGTAGACTCTTGCGAAGGATGGAAAAAGGCTTTAATCCTCTTTCTTATATATCATAGGACTTTTACTTCAACAGAAGATGATGATGACAATGATCATGATACATATAACGAGAGACCTTCCGAGAAATATCAAAAACCTAAACAATATTCCTTCGCTGGGTTGATTGTATCGAGATTAATTCGCGAGAGTTGTAAGTATGCGCAAAGGCATAAGGCAAAAAAAAAATATGCGGGTTTCCGGTTTCTTCTTATAAAAACTTAGGTAGGGTAGGTCGGTTTTAACTTTTTTTTAAACTTTTTTTTTAAATTTTCCGAACAACCGGACGCCATTTTGTTTAGTCAGTGCTTCCACATCCAAAGATAAATTTCCCTAATATTGCCTCAAATTTTAATTTTCCACAAAGTTTTTCCTCTAAGTGGAAACACTTACAAGCATGATCCAATAAAAAAGTTTAGGGTCGGGATTTCGACGTCCAAAAGCTAGGTAGGGAAACCGGAAACCCACATATTTTTTTTGGCCTAAATGAGCATTTACGATAAACTATAATCAAATTTGTCTTATACCGTCCTATTTTTCTTAAATTCTAGTTGCAGATTCGTTGATAATCACGCCGAAAATATATCAAAGATAGCAAAATTGATTTCCACAGCAGGCAAAATGAAAAATGGCAGCCGTTCCACAATTTTCAGTTCTTGTTGTTAGTTTAGAAACCATGCAAGACCCGACAGGCCGGTTGTTCAAAGCTGGATTAACGCTAAACCTGTATTTATTTCTTCGTTAGTTTGTATGTTTAACCTGTTGCTTTGGTTTGAGTACATTTGCACTTCTGTTTATTTCAAAAGTTTGGAAAATTAAACTTCTATTGATCCAGACATGAATTTTGGAAAACAATCTTCGTGTTTCTAAACAGGATGTCGGGATCGAAGATTGCTTTGAAATTTGCGTTGACCTAGGATTAGCCGAATTCATATTAGGGACGGGAAACTCGTCTGCGAAAACCCGTCTGAATATGAATTTAGGGACGGGTAAATTCGAATTTAAGACGAGTTTCCCGTCTAGACGAGATTCCCGTCTAACTTTCCCGTCTGTTTAGACGGGTAAGTTAGACGGGAAAGTTCGGACGGGAAACTCGTCTGCACCCGGATTCATATTAGACGAGTTTCCCGTCTGAGACGAGTTTCCCGTCTCTAATATGAATTCGGCTATTAAGCTGACCAGCCTTTGAACGACCGGCCCCAACAAGTCATTACTTATGGCTGGGAGGGTGGGGTGCAATGGGTGATTTCAGCTATCTATAGACTAAATTTTGATCAAGGCAAGAAGAATGAAATCCAACAGCACAGCTAGAAAGAGTGTCTTAGAATGAGTAAAACTGCAAAGATTGGTTGCTAAATGTTGTAAAATGAAGAAAATATAGCCCTGTGAAGTTCGCAAATTTTGTGATATATTTGTATTACGCGCGGTAAAAATAACCACTTTCGGATCAAAAATGGTTATTTTTCCTGCGCGTAATGCAAATATATAAAAAATTTGCGAACTTCACTTCACAAATCAAAATTTTGTCTATAACTGAAATCATTGGATGCTCTCTATGGTATACTGTCGTTCCAATTGAAGTGTTGCTGAAATATTGATTCAATACATTACCTCAGGCTGACCAATTCATTTCATCAAGTTCCTCGAGATATTCATACACTTCCTGTGAAAGAGCCAATTCCAAGAATTTGATCATCTCTGGTCATTTCCTTTCTATTTATGATTGGTTAGTTGCACAAACAACAAAGGTGATTGGTGCATTCAAACTCTTCAACAGGAAGTTTACAATTATACTAGGAAGTGTATGAATATTTTGAGGAACTTGATCAAATGAATTGGTCAGCCCTAGGTAATGTATTGAATCAATATTTGAGGAACACTTCAATTGGAATGACAGTAAAACTATAAATAATGACGCATAGTTTGAAGAAATACGTATGGATACGTCGTATATGGAATGTGTAATTTTCATAATTGTACCTACATTATATGTGACGATGTTAAAATCCCGAAGTTCCAGCCATTTTACGGATTTGTTCATAGACTAACCAAAACGTCATAGACCATGGTGCCTGGAAATTATAACAAAAGGACAGATGTGTTATGCCCGGACCAAGCGAGGATGCGAGTGTATGAGAGTTTGGCAGTCACGCGAGCTTGGTTAGCTGTTCTTGATGCTTTCCCAACACTATCATGTATTCTATTTAAGTTAAAACATAGTTGGGACACTTATCAAAACTTTATTTTGTTAATCTAGAGCTTGAAATGACCCCCGTAGCAATACGTGACTACCAACTCTCATCAACTCTCATCCTCGGGGCTTAAGTCGTTCATGCATACTCTGGTACACACGTAAAAACGCACAAGTTGTAACAAGTCTGCAAACAAATTGTTACACGTCTGTTCACAAGCTGTCAACAAGTTGTCTTCACACTGCTTGTTCCCAGTTTGTTGTAACAAGTTTGGAACAAGCTGTTAACAACTTGTAACAAGCTTGATGGCATTATCAGCCTTGTTACAAGACTGTGCTAACAAGTTTGTTACAGCCATGATATAACAAGGAT